GAGAGAGAGAGAGAGAGAGAGAGAGAGAGAGAGAGAGAGAGAGAGAGAGAGAGAGAGAGAGAGAGAGAGAGAGAGAGAGAGAGAGAGACCAAGACTGACAGCCAGACTACAGATGAAAAAAAAAAATATATATATATATATACAGTATATATATATATGTGTGTATATCACGAAAATAAACACGTGATTAAGAATGTGACAATGTCAGACCACGGAGGAAAAATGAAACAGGAAATTTCCTTAAGTACTTTCGTATATTAAATACATCTTCAGAAGGTCCTTCTGAAGATGTATTTAATATACGAAAGTACTTAAGGAAATTTCCTGTTTCATTTTTCCTCCGTGGTCTGACATTGTCATATATATATATATATATATATATATATATATATATATATATATATATGCAATTGACGATCACAAAACACTGATCATTTTATGCGGAAAATCCACAGAGAAATATGAAATGAGGTGAACGTTTCGGCTTGTTAAAGCCTTTGTCAACACCAGTCTGGTGTTGACAAAGGCTTTAACAAGCCGAAACGTTCACCTCATTTCATATTTCTCTGTGGATTTTCCGCATAAAATGATCAGTGCTTTGTGATCGTCAATTGCATATTATATACATAATATATAATATATATATATGTCGTACCTAGTAGCCAGAACGCACTTCTATGCCTACTATGCAATGCCCGATTTGCCTAATAAGCCAAGTTTTCATGAATTAATGTTTTTTCGACTACCTAACCTACCTAACCTAACCTAACCTAACTTTTTCTGCTACCAAACCTAACCTAACCTATAAAGATAGGTTAGGTTAGGTTAGGTAGGGTTGGTTAGGTTCGGTCATATATCTACGTTAATTTTAACTCCAATAAAAAAAAATTTACCTCATACATAATGAAATGGGTAACTTTATCATTTCATAAGAAAAAAATTAGAAAAAATATATTAATTCAGGAAAACTTGGCTTATTAGGCAAATCGGGCCTTGAATAGTAGGCTGAGAAGTGCGTTCTGGCTACTAGGTACGACATATATATATATATATATATATATATATATATATATATATATATATATATATATATATATATATATATATATATATATATATATACACACACACACACACACACATATGGGGGTACCACCTCTGGTGCAATTATAGGGACCCACATCCTCAAAGAAGGGAACACAGCATTCAGAGAAAAACTTGCCATTTAACTCTGAATACGTCTGAGCGTTCGCGTCTCCTATCAGCCCCTGTATATATATAATTGCCCAAGAAAAGCGGGTACGTGTTATGTCATAATCAAATTATCAAAAGTGCATGTTAATTAGCTGTAATTATTTATTTTTCTTAATATATGCTTAAAAAGCAGAAAAAATGGTGATAACTTTCATTACAACACTGTAATGAAAGTTCATAAGCGAAGCTGAAGTCAAAAGGGAATAGTTCTTCTTTATATTCTTCCTATATTCTTCAAATAGGCATTTGAAGAATTAATGAAGATTGGCTAAAATTTAAGATTCATTTTATTGTAGGAAGCAGAATTATGTGGTAACAAAATATTATGAGATATGAGAAATATCTTAAATAATAATATTTGGTTAGGTAAAATGCATTTGAAACATGATTCAGTGGAGTTTTCGTAGGTACACACCGTGGTAATTTATATAAAGATATAACTTATAATTTCTGTAACTTATATAATCCTGTCATAAAGCTGACAGGGTTTGATAAGCAGACAATGAGTCACAATAACATGGCTAAAGATATGATTTTTTTTTTCAAATTTTATACAATTTTTTTTTATACTTACAAAGCATTTTTATACCTTCTTACAATATAGTTTTATACTTTCTTACAATGTAGCTGTAAATAATTTTTTTTTAATTTTGCTAGAAATTACCTTCTTAAAATTATATGTTAGCGTTTCGGGCAGATCCTTAATCTATGCGTGCTAGTGTCTTTACAAGACTGTAAACCTTCAAGTCTCTGTATTCTCATAAACCCAATACTCCTTCTTGTATATAAATAAATAAATAAATAAATAATAACCAAACCACACACCAGAAAAGTAAAAAACGACGACGTTTTGGTCCGCCGTTATCAAGTCCTCGACTTGATAACGACGTACAATTATCAAGTCCTCGACTTGATAATTGTACGTTGTCGTTTCTTCATTTCGTGATGTGTGGTTTGGATATAATATGATTATATAATACTTGTAGTATATACTCTGAATTTTGTTTACAACTCGCTAAAGGCATATTCCATATCGGGATCGAGTCAGTCTCGTTACCTATGAAACATTATATATGTACCGTACTAAAATACACTACTAACGAACCCGAGACCAATTGGATTACCAGAGAACCAGCTTAGCGTCGGGTACCCACGTTTCCAGCTATTTTACTTGCATACTGTTTTCTCCCATTAAAGAATCAATAACGAAGGCCTGCGCTAATAAACTACATTTCCCCACAGCATATCAGGCTGTGGCTTGTGCATTACAGAGGGCGAGTGTACGATCATTACGAAAGGTGGGGAAGCCCAGTAAGACAGACAAGGTAAGTATAGATGTGTGAGGGGGGATACCTTACGACTGTCAACACCCGCTGTGGTGATGGAGCCTCTTGTGTCTCCTCTACCCGTGTTATCCACTGACGAAACTCAGGCGTGACCTGCCACTGCTGCCACTCAGTACTGCCACTGCCACGCTGCTGCCACTCGGCACTTCTCTCGATTTGCCTCTCAAGAGGGATTTTTTTTTTAAGAAACACGAACTCTCACAATGAAAGAGATAATGAGGCGACACGCATGGTTGCTCTAACACGGAATATGAGTTAATATGGATTTTAGCACGGCACACACACAAAAAATAGACGGCAAATGACCCGTTTTGCCACTATATATTTTGCTGACTCTTCACTCTACAAATGTGTTAATATGGATTTCAATTTATTTTTTGTGAGAAGACAGTAAAGAACAACTGTATAACTTTACGTTCTATGAAGGCCTTGGACTGTGTTATTGTGGCTATGTGGAAATTTTGTTGTGTGAACACCCGGTTTCGTTAACAAATAAATTTTTTAGGTTAAATGCTTTATCGATTATCGAAGTGAAGGGCGATTCTGAGGATATTTGCGAGTGCTTTAAGCGAAGAAAAATTGTTTTCTTCATCATGCAAGTAAGTCCATTGAGTTGTTACCTAATACCAATAGCCAAGATGATTATATGCTGGACGGGGTAGGCCTAAATTAAATGCTTTAATATTTATTGTAAACATCCTTAGGCCATTTTCATGGTCATGTGTGAAATATTGGGTGTGATTAACATTGAATTTTTGTCGTAATATAATTTCTTACACCCATACAGTTGTTTAAGTGGTTCTTAATATATTTTTTCTGAGAGAATGGGGAGAGGGGGGGGGCTAGGTAAAAATATAGATGGATGAATAAGTAGATGGACAGATAGGATATTAGCATTAATACAGATAGGATATTAGTACAATGGGCATTGTCCATTGTACTAATATCCTATCTCAGTATCCATTGCTCAATACAATGGGCATTGCTCATTGTACCTGGGCAATGCCTGGCACACAATAAATAGCACACTAGCACTATATAAATGTTGTATCATTATTGCAATGATTAGTACCCTATAATGTCTTTCTTGAAGTGCACATGATATAGCAGTAAAGTACTATAATGTCAGACCACGAAGGAAGGGCCACGAATAATACATCTTCAGAAGGATTTAGAATTATTAAATACGAAAGTACTGTACTCAATGAAATTCTCGTCTTAATCCTTCCTTCGTGGTTTGACGTTATCACACTGTTCATCACATGTGAATTCCTTCGTAATTTACACACACACACACCACACACAATGAATGTGTAAGGAATAATTCAAAACGTTGTATACCACATATGTCAGACCAATCCTGGAGTATGCAGCTCCAGCATGGAGTCCATATCTAGTCAAGCATAAGACTAAACTGTAAAAGGTTCAAAGGTTTACCACCAGGCTAGTACCCGAACTAAGAGGTATGAGCTACGAGGAGAGACTACGGGAATTAAACGTCACGTTGCTGGAAGACAGAAGAGTTATGCGGGACATGATCACCACATACAAGATTCTCAAAGAAAATGATATGGTAGATAAAGACAGGCTGATTTAACATAAGGGGCACACGCACTAGGGGACACAGGTGGAAATTGTGTGCCCAAATGAGCCACAGAGATGTTAGAAAGAATTTTTTTTTTTTGTGTCAGAGTGATTGACAAAAGGAATGCATTAGGAAGTGATGTGGTTGAGGCAGATTTCATACACAGTTTCAAGTGTGGATATAATGGAGCCCAATAGGCTCAGGAACCTGTACATCAGTAGAGTGACAGTTGAGAGGCGGGACCAAAGAGCCAGAGCTTAACCCCTCCAAGCACAACTAGGTGAGTACACACACACACACACACTTGTGGGGGTTGCATTAAGCAGTGATGTGGTGGAGGCAGACTCCATACACAGTTTCAAATGTAGATTTGATAGAGTCCAGTAGTCTCAGGAATCTGTAGACCAGTTGATTGACAATTGAGAGGCGGGACCAAAGAGCCAAAGTTCAACCCCCCGCATGCACAACTAGTTGAGTACACACACACATTTTATATATATATATATATATATATATATATATATATATATATATATATATATATATATTTATATATTTAAAACTCCCAGTTTTCCTTCAGAAAATCGGAGTTTTCCTTGTTCAATAATTTAATACAATCTCAATGCACTTTCAGCTGTCATGCCTTGACTTCACAACTCCTAGAGTATCTATTGCGTGCATTTCTTATTGTAAAAGAAATGCTAGTCTTGTATGGAAGGTAAAAATACGTTACTTAAAGGATGCTACGATCCCGTTGAAAGTGCATGTGTTAGAGAAGCTATAACTAAACTAAACGCCCTCAGGGAAGTAAATTAACGACGGGCAGCTTTGTCCTGACGACGACGACGATGATGGCGGCGCTGCTGGTGGTGGTGGCGTTGCCCGCGGGGGTGGCCGGCTTCTGGTACGGCAGCGGTGAAGGTGGCGACGAAGGTGACGGTGAAGATGCTCCTGGTGGCTCCTTGGGGCCTTCCTGCCTTAGACAGCGCACGTTTCCCGCCGCCTCCAGCGATATTTACGTCACTGGTACGTATGAATAACAATATCAATAATGGTATTAGGATATCCTAATAATAATTAGGATAAATAAGGAAGGAATTATCACGGAAAGGGCCAAGCAATTACGACTATATAGCACTGGGAAGAGGTTAGGATAAAAGGATTTGGGACGGGGACGGAGGGAAGGAATGGTGCCCGTGATCATATACCTTCTTTCCTCAGTGAGAGACAGAAAGTGAGCCCAAGTGTTGCGAAGCTTGTGTTGTGTACTGTTATGCCTGAAAAGTTACATGCAATTTTGACTTTATATAATATACAATTATAATACTGTCTTCATTCCCTTCCCAGCAAACACACAATACAACCACATGACAGAAGTCTGCCCAAATATGAACAATTATGTATACATGTTGACCAAACCACATACATATGTTGAATTATATATATGACTATTCATCAACAAATATTAATAACAGGAACAATACATATAATATACACAGCCTCTCAATATACAATCTAAACGTCTCCCCATTGCTGAGGAATTGAAATAAGGATCATATATGATTTTCAGTAGGATGAAAGATGTATCCTGCTGCCGGGTACATTGTCCCATTGACATACTAAACAATGAAATAGAAAACCAATATGACTAGCAACCCCAGTCAGTAACTCTTTGCAAAAGCTGCTATACACAGATTATTACTAAATCATTAATAAAATATAACTGCACAAAGATAAATAAGTGAATTGGCTCATCACAGCTCGGAACATATCAGGATAAATAAAATCAATAATCCTGTTCCCATGGGATTTGCGACTCTTCCTATCCCATTATACAGTAGATTGAATGTTATATAAAATATACCTATAATGAGAGGCGCTCGCTCGTTTAAGGAAACTGATATACAAGACACTAATAAACGGAGATAAGTCGAATAAGAGTTAAAAAACCGATGATGGAAGGTGGTGGAAGCTGAACTGTGAGTGATGGACGAGTTTACCCTCGGGTGCCTGGCATGAGACCACAGAAAACCGTGAAAGAGAGAACTGTAGGGCAGAGACTATTTTATTATTTGAAATATTTGAGAATATTTCCTATCAAGCCTGACCCCGGGCCGGGTTTGGGAAGTAGAAGAACTCTCAGATCATCATCCCAGGTACAATCCACGTTTAGAAAATATGACATGCAAAGGAAACGTATGTTTATGCGCATTACGAAAATGAGACCCGCCAAATATATGTAATAATCTGACACCTGCAGCATCACCAGACTCATTAGATTCTCAAATATTAAGTTGATTTAAAAATATACAGAACATAATACAGTTGTTAAATCAGTAGTTGCATAAATACATTCTTTAAGAAGACTAAACAACAGCAGATGAGGCGACGACGTTTCGATCTCTCCATTATCAAGTCGATTGTTGATACAATGTGTAATATTAACAATAGGCTATAACGTATCTCGATGCTGTTTAATATTAAGCACTAGTCAATAATGAACCTCTATGCTGTATGTCTATACAGTATACCTAAGTCATAAAAGTATTTGTGTGTACGTCTGATACCATACTACTTGTGTAAAGGAGGAATTGTATATGTTTATCTCTCAAAATGTTCGGCAATATGTTCATTGTTTGTGATGTATGTCTATATATGTATGAACACGTTGTACTGAACGGGGTGAAAATAGCTTGAGCTACCTCATCCCTTTGTGTGTATTTTACCTCAATAAACTTATTTCAATTTCAACTTAATTCGATGCTGTAATTAAGGCTACTCGTCACAGCCTTATTGTAATACAAATACAAATTTTTATTCGGGTAAAGTACATACATACAAGGTAAGATACAAAAGTTGATGGATTTATAGATAGAGCTAGTACATACAATGCCTAAAGCCACTATTACGCAAAGCGTTTCGGGCAATGATTTATTCTGGTCTAAATGTTATATAATCACAGTTTCTCATTCTACGTGCACCCAGGTCTCATAGACGTTCACGGGGGCGTGCGGTGTGGCCAGGTGGACCTGGCGGGTGTCCAGCTCATGGAAGCCGCCCGCTGGACCGCCCTCAAGATGGGGCGCCTCGCCTTCATCCCCGGCGTCTCCCTGGGTTAGTATGCCGGTCACACCTTCGTTGTTCCGGTTAAGGAAAGTACTGCAGAGTCTTAGCCAGTGGGCACAATACCCAAGAGTGGCATTGGTTCGACGTTGATAATTGGGCTCTTTATTTATATATATAACATATACAAGTTTGTGAGGGTACCACCTCTGGTACCAATGTGGGGACCCATAGCCTCGGAGAAGAAAATAAAAAGTATTCAGAGAAGACCTTGTGGTTTCTCAATGAACACTAATATTATCTTCTCCTACCACCCCCAATCTTTTGTGTGTGTATATATATATATATATATATATATATATATATATATATATATATATATATATATATATATATATATATATATATATATGTCGTACCTAGTAGCCAGAACGCATTTGTCAGCCTACTATGCAAGGCCCGATTTGTCTAATAAGCCAAGTTTTCATGAATTAATTGTTTTTCGACTACCTAACCTACCTAACCTAACCTAACCTAACTTTTTCGGCTACCTAACCTAACCTAACCTATAAAGATAGGTTAGGTTAGGTTAGGTAGGGTTGGTTAGGTTCGGTCATATATCTACGTTAATTTTAACTCCAATAACAAAAATTGACCTCATACATAATGAAATGGGTAGCTTTATCATTTCATAAGAAAAAAATTACAGAAAATATATTATTTCAGGAAAACTTGGCTTATTAGGCAAATCGGGCCTTGCATAGTAGGCTGAAAAGTGCGTTCTGGCTACTAGGTACGACATATATATATATATATATATATATATATATATATATATATATATATATATATATATATATATATATATGTATATATATATATATATATATATATATATATATATATATATATATATATATATATATATATATGTATTATATATATATATATATATATATATATATATATATATATATATATATATATATATATATATATATATATATATATTATATATATATATATATGTTGTACCTAGTAGCCAGAACGCACTTCTCAGCCTACTATGCAAGGCCCGATTTGCCTAATAAGCCAAGTTTTCCTGAATTAATATATTTTCTCTATTTTTTTTCTTATGAAATGATAAAGCTACCCATTTCATTATGTATGAGGTCAACTTTTTTTATTGGAGTTAAAATTAACGTCGATATATGACCGAACCTAATCAACCCTACCTAACCTAACCTAACCTATCTCTATAGGTTAGGTTTGGTTAGGTAGCCGAAAAAGTTAGGTTAGGTTAGGTTAGGTAGGTTAGGTAGTCGAAAAAACATTAATTCATGAAAACTTGGCTTATTAGGCAAATCGGGCCTTGCATTGTAGGCTGAGAAGTGCGTTCTGGCTACTAGGAACGACATATATATATATATATATATATATATATATATATATATATATATATTTATATATTTATATATATATATATATATATATATATATATATATATATATATATATATATATATATATATATATATATATATGTGTGTGTGTGTGTGTGTGTGTGTTATATTTATAATATATTTATATTTTGAAATAAAATTGAAAATTATATATGTAGACATAATGTTTTTAATTATTTCAATTTGCTACTGTATCAGTGTGACTACCTCCCTTCTAACTCGTATCCATGTCATAATCTTTCCAACAAACATACTATGCAACAAAACACACAAATATCAGGCACCATTAATATATACATGTGGATATAAAATTCTCTGCCGGTCTGTAAAATCTCCGTTTTGCTCTATAAATTAAAACTTAAGTCCCGGCATATGCTAAATTAAACTATTTTACCACCACTGCAACTTGCACACACCAATGGTATTGAAGGAAGTTATGTTCGTGTGTACCATATCATTATTCCCCAGTACCGAGCCAGAACCTTTCCTGCAGGAGTGAGCATCTACGATACTTGTGGGGGTCCGGAGGCGGTGATGAGGGCGGCCGCCACCGCGGTGCTGGAGGGAAGATACTTAGAGCCGCCTGTGTGTCGCGCGGCGCCTCATGTGGGCGTCGTCCACACTCACCCCCACCACGACCAGCTCTCGTCGTTCCTTCAGGTGAGCGCTCTTCCAGCCGACCTAAAGCATATCCTCTCGACTATAAGGCCGGCGTCCTTCACCTCACTCTCCGCATTACCCTACAAAAACCATCCGTCTGCTCGGGGGAAAAAAATCCGAAACGCCCAACAAAAGGTATAAAACGTCCGATAAAAATTCTAAATTGCCCAACAAAAAGTTCCCAAATGCCTAACATTAAATCGCAAACGGCCAATCAGATTTCGAAAATGCCCAACAAAAATGCTCTTAAACGCTCAGCAAACAGTTCCATCAGGTAGGAATGTAGACACAAGGTAGGTTGGTAGGTAGGCTCTTTACCACTCAACGTTATCATTGGGTAAAACACAGAGAAAACTCAAGGACATATTTTGATCAAAATTAGACCCGTAAAGCATGCCATGTATAAGGCTCGGATACTATTTGACCCGCTACACCACCCACCATGCATTATAGACATCTTGGGACTTGTTTGGCTTTGTTCTCGACTCAGTCTGGCATCCCAGGGGTCGATTCCCGAGCTGGATAGAAATAGTTGAGCACGTTTCCTTTCACCAAATGCCTCCTGTGCTCATGTGAACAGAGGTATTAATATTGTCTCTCAGTTGCCGTTGTGCCTCACTGACCGGCACATGCATGTCGCCTCCTGAATTCTTCCTGCTACAGGACGTGGGCGCGCCCTCCGTCAGCGTGGACGCCGAGGACATTATGCCACAGCTGGAGGCCCTTGTACTTCTCCTCCAGAGACTCAACTGGACCTCCGTCGCTGTTGCGGCTCCCACCATCCAGGTTAGTAGGATTTTCAAATGAATAAAAGTAGGTACGAGTTGCCTGTCTGCGGGTGTTTAGTGACACTTGCCTGTCTGCGTGTGTTTAGGGACAATTGCCTGTCTGCGTGTGTTTAGGGACAATTGCCTGTCTGCGGGTGTTTTGGGACAATTGCCTGTCTGCGTGTGTTTAGGGACAATTGCCTGTCTGCATGTGTTTAGGGACAATTGCCTGTCTGCGTGTGTTTAGGGACAATTGCCTGTCTGCGTGTGTTTAGGGACAATTGCCTGTCTGCGTGTGTTTAGTGATAATTGCCTGTCTGCGTGTGTTTAGGGACAATTGCCTGTCTGCGGGTGTTTAGTGACAATTGCTTGTCTGCGGGTGTTTAGTGACAATTGCCTGTCTGCGGGTGTTTAGGGACAATTGCCTGTCTGCGGGTGTTTAGTGACAATTGCCTGTCTGCGGGTGTTTAGTGACAATTGCCTGTCTGCGTGTTTAGTGACAATTGCCTGTCTGCGTGTGTTTAGTGACAATTGCCTGTCTGCGTGTTTAGTGACAATTGCCTGTCTGCGGGTGTTTAGTGACAATTGCCTGTCTGCGTGTTTAGTGACAATTGTCTGTCTGCGGGTGTTTAGTGATAATTCAAAATTTAATAATCTATGTCAGAATTTAAATCAAACCAAATTAAACAAGCCATCCTCCTGTTTAGATAATAGGTATTGTGACGATCGTCAGTTCTCACGAGTTCGTACGTACTTAACTTTTAGATACTAGTAAGGAATTCTTTAACTTTTCTAACTTTTAGATACTAGTAAGGAATTCTTTAAAATAAATGAAGCTATAAAAACTAAATATTCCGAAGCCTAGTATAGCACACACATGTACTATATTAGGCCTCAGATATCGTGCATTAGGCCTCAGATATCGTGCATTAGGCCTCAGATATCGTGCATTAGGCCTCAGATATCGTGCATTCTTGTCCCCTAACTCCCCTTGCCTCTTGGGGGGGGGGGGGTGTATAGTGTGCTTATGTGACTTCAGGGCACCAATCCCCCCCCCCCCAGCCACTAGGCATGGTGAGAAGGCACCCCTGAACATACATATTTCCCTATCAAAAACACACACACTAAAATACACATAAATGGCAGATCTCATCACAACCCACAAGAGTTAAGACGATAATAATAACACACAATAACAACATACCAAAATTAAAAATGCTTTTATATTTCGTTTTTCTTATATGGGAACACAGCACACAAAGGGAGAGGTGCACAGTATATTATTAAAAAAAAGAACTAAAGCTGAAGGCAAAACAACAAGCTGCCTAAGCGGCAGGATTGGTGACTTAACAGCATCATACATGGAAAAGTTATTCATAGTGGAAGCTCCTAACAGGACCCCGAAGCGGGAGGGTTGTCATGTATGCGTATGGGAGCCGGTCGGCCGAGCGGACAGCACACTGGACTTGTGATTCTGTGGTCCCGGGTTCAATCCCGGGCGCCGGCGAGAAACAATGGGCAGAGTTTCTTTCACCCTATGCCCCTGTTACCTAGCAGTAAAATAGGTACCTGGGTGTTAGTCAGCTGTCACGGGCTGCTTCCTGGGGGTGGAGGCCTGGTCGAGGACCGGGCCGCGGGGACACTAAAAAGCCCCGAAATCATCTCAAGATAACCTCAAGAAGATGGGGGTCCCTCCGGCCGCCGCCTTGCCCACTCCTGGGCTCCGGTATGTTAGGTTACTTTGTCAAAGTAACGCAAATAAAAAAAAAATTGATTTCCGGTTTGTCCAACTCAATACTTCAGATTTCTACGTTCTAATTTCGTTGTACGTCGGTATATATATATATACTATATAGCTATATTAGCAGTCTCCGTGGTGTAGTGGTAAGACACTCGCCTGGCGTTCCGCGAGCGCTATGTCCTGGGTTCGTATCCTGGCCGGGGAGGATTTACTGGGCGCAATTCCTTAACTGTAGCCTCTGTTTAACGCAACAGTAAAATGTGTACTTGTATGAAAAAACGATTCTTCGCGGCAGGGGATCGTATTCCAGGGACCATAGGATTAAGGACTTGCCCGAAACGCTACGCGTACTAGTGGCTGTACAAGAATGTAACAACTCTTGTATATATCTCAAAAACTATGGTCCTCTATATACTACGGTATATATACTATGGGAGGAGGCCTGGTCGAGGACCGGGCCGCGGGGACGCTAAGCCCCGGAAGCACCTCAAAATAACCTTGTTACAATAAGAACTACCAAAACCAGAGAATGGGCTGAAATTAAAAACAAACAAACTGTAATCATAAATGTTTGTTTCTTGGTAATATGTTTGTTTATATATTATTATTATTATTTTATAATTGACATGCAGTTTGTTGTTGGTGCCTTAAGGTGGCTCCTGTCAAGAGATATGAGCACATCGAACTGCGTCTTACATTATATTCAGTCTTACACATCTGTAAAGGGTTTACTTGGGTAAGTATATCATTAATATTTATAACAGCATCACCCTTAACAGGAGCTGCAGAAGTTTGGCCACCTGGCGGCTGGACTCGACATCTGCGTGGGCGCTGAAGCCATCCTCCCCCATACCAACAGGTAGCCTCACCCCTTCCTCCCCCACACCAAAAGGTAGCCTCGCCCCTTTCTTCCCCACACCAGCAGGTAGCCTCGTCCCTTTCTCCCCCACACCAGCAGGTAGCCTCGTCCCTTCCTTCCCCACACCAGCAGGTAGCCTCGTCCCTTTCTCCCCCACACCAGCAGGTAGCCTCGTCCCTTCCTTCCCCACACCAGCAGGTAGCCTCGTCCCTTCCTTCCCCACACCAGCAGGTAGCCTCGACCCTTTCTCCCCCACACCAGCAGGTAGCCTCGCCCCTTTCTCCCCCACACCAACAGGTAGCCTCGCCCCCTTTTTCCCCCACACCAACAGGTAGCCTCGCCCCTTTCTCCCCCACACCAACAGGTAGCTTCGCCCCTTTCTCCCCCACACCAACAGGTAGCCTCGTCCCTTTCTCCCCCACACCAACAGGTAGCCTCGCCCCTTCAATGCACCCTCTCATTTACACTGTAGCAGTATATACTCTACTGCCTTCCATTACTTACAAAGTACACTACCAATTATTGTTACTATTTATTGCAAAACAACCATTGCTGACCTGTGATAGAGGGAATGTTCAAATTTATGAGAGATACCCTGTGTATATATGTTATAATTATAATGTTTATATTTGGTGATTATAATTGAAGTGCTTTCACAATCTCAACCATTAGTTCAAACATAATAGATTCATTAGTTGTGTTGTATCTTATCACAGTGCCTCGATCGTGGAGTAAAATAAAAACTTTTGCCTTGCTACAAAACTTGTCTTCCGCTGCTTGTATTGATTCATATGTGTTTGTGCTGTAGCGTGGATTTATTCTCTAGCGTGGGGTTGTATTACCAGTGACGAGAAGGTGTACGGGGCGGTGCTGGAAGCGTTGGGCGTGGCTGGAACGGGCGGGGTGGTGCTCATTGGGCCTCAGGATCGCCTGCATGCCGCCCTCGACGCCGCCCGACGCAATCGCACTGACTTCCACTGGGTGCTGGCGCCCACTGGAACCATCCAGGAGAGTGTCTTCCAGGGTAGGTCACTATACGGCTGTTTCATGGCCGTTCTACCGATTAGCCATATTCGTTAGTATATTTTTTCTTTTGTATCTGGATTTGTTGACATTTGTAATATTCGTTCTTGTTTCTTCTTATGCCTGACTTCCCTTCTCTCATACACCAAACATATCCCTCATGTTTTCCTCTCATAATATTTGTATATCTGGTATATTTATGGTTTACCTCTTGATTTTTCCATTTTCTGGAACAAGAAGCCTGTTCAGCTTAATATGGTCTTCCTATGCCACCTGCTAACATTTTTTCGGGATGCAACTCAAAACAGTTGTCTAACTCTGTTCTTCTGTTGCTAGGAAAACAGTGGTTTCAGGTGAAAGGAAACGTTGCCCAAACGCTTCTTATGGTTATAACCTGACTGCGATGATCATTATGCCTCAGAACCCTTCTTCAATCTTTCCACAACAACTTCTTCTATCACCTTATACACGTCTTCCAGGCCTGAACTCATACACACATCATCCAGGCCTGAACTCTTACACACATCATCCAGGCCTGAACTCTTACACACATCTTCCAGGCCTGAACCCTTACACACATCATCCAGGCCTGAACCCTTACACACATCTTCCAGGCCTGAACCCTTACACACATCATCCAGGCCTGAACTCTTACACACATCATCCAGGCCTGAACTCTTACACACATCATCCAGGCCTGAACCCTTACACACATCTTCCAGGCCTGAACTCTGTCGCGTCTGGGTTGCTGGTGCTAAAGAGGACCAGCCAGACGGTGCCGGAGTTCGGCGAACACTTCCTGACGGTGGCGTCCTCGGGGTCCAAACTCTACCAGCACTTCACCCCCGAGGACTACGTAGAGGAGCCTGCAGTGTACCAGGTGAGGAGAGGTTGTGAAGAGGATAAAGGGGGGATCAGTTCACAATGAACGCCAATGGCCATACCACGTTGAGAACACCGCTTCTCGTCCTCAGCGCCAGGCTACACAATGAACTTCAGCGCAAAGTTATTACGATCGAAGAAGCGCAAAGTGAGTGGAGCAATTTTCGAGAAAAGCTTAGATGGCAACTTCTGCAATGAATCAAAACATTCATAGTTAAAGTTTATGATCTACCTAAGGAGCAAATGAGAGAGCTTTGCAAAGTTTAGCTGAAATCCACTCAAGAGTGTCCGTAGGAATAGAGGGAAGATACTAATGAAGATTAAGCCACCCAAGAGATGGGCACGGGCATGAGTAGCCCGAATGGGGGAGACAATAGTGGTATGATTAACAGTAGTAGTGGTATTAACAGAAGTAATAGGATTAGCAACAATAGTGGTGGGATTAGCAACAATAGTGGTGGGATTAGCAACAATAGTGGTGGGATTAGCAACAATAGTGGTGGGATTAGCAACAATATTGGTGGGATTAGCAACAATAGTGGTGGAATTAGCTACAATAGTAGTTGGATTGAAACCATAACAATAGAATTTGCAACAATAATAAGTGCAAAAGTTACATTATTGCACATTTTTTTTTAACTCAAAAAGTATTTTCCTGCTGAGAGTCATGTTAGAACCAGGATTTTCCAGTCATTTTCGCCAGCTTATGTGTTACCATTTTGGAAAACACAAATCTTGGTAAGCTTATCGAGGTCGGATGCAAGCGAACGAGGTCAACTGTCTCTCCCTGTCCAGGAATCGAACCTAGGACCAATCGATTGCGAAGCGTCTGCCCTAATCACGGGCTCTTTTCACGGAAAAAATCTTTTACACTAACAAACGGTATTTTCCTTATTCCCTCTAAGATGGTGAAAGCGATGTATGCAATGGGCGTGGGCGTACGACGGGCGGTTCTGCGGGCGTGTGGAGGGTCCGGCTGGTGCAGCAACGCCAGTGCGACGTTCACCAACATTCCCAATACTGACGACGGCGGCGACGGTCCTGACGTAATAGAGAAGCTTTCCATCAAGGCTCAGAGACCTCATTATCAAGTGCTTCGCCTGGCACCAACAGGTCACGATGACTACACAACACTCGCCTTCACCAAGGTGGTTCTTGTGGTGTTGATGACAGCTGGGTAGTGGTGGTAGCAGATAGTTGTTGTGGTAGTAGCAGATAGTTGTAGTGGTAGTAGCAGATAGTTGTAGTGGTAGTAGCAGATAGTTGTAGTGGTAGTAGCAGATAGTTGTAGTGGTAGTAGCAGATAAGTGTTGTGGTAGTAGCAGCAGCTGGCTGAAGTGGTAGCATGAGCTATCAGCAATGGTGGTAGTATTAGTAGCAAGTATTTGCCCAAGGTGGATTCAATATTTTAAGAAGTTATGTAGATCAAATGTTTGTATTAAAACATACGTTACCCGTTCTTGTAAAGTAAATTAATTACGTAAAGTAATGTATATACTCAAATGTATGTAAATGAAGTTTTTCTTGCCAAAAATTGTGGATTTATGTGAATATAAGTTGAACAGTTTGTTGATGTATGTTAAAAAGACTGCATAAACTGTATGTTTGGCAAGATTTAAATAATTGTAGTTGGGACAGAATGAAACATTATGTGTTAAATCATAATCATTGGAGACGTCCTAAATAATGTTGGTAAATTTATGCAGTTGCTGCTTTTTACTGGTATAAAAAAAGGAATTAGGTGAAAGTGAAGTTGAGAGTAGAGAAAGTAATTAAAGCTCATTGCAGCATGAAAATGCTGGAAATGTAGCTTATATTAATGTTGGTGAGTGTGAATTAGTGAACATGAGGGAAGTATGAGGAGAGGGAGACCTGGACATGGTGAGGGAACGATACCAGTGTGTGTGGTGTACGAAAAATATTAGGAACACCAAGGCCAGGTGGAGTCTGTCTCTCACATTAACAACAAGGCCAGGTGAAATCTGTCTCACACAATGAAAATAACTGACATTTTTAGGAATCTATTAGCAGAAAAGTACAATTCATCCAGTCTTATGCAAAGGTAAAGTGTTGTGGATCATTTGCTTGAATACAGCAATGCTGCTTCCCTTAATATGTAGTGTGGAATATACAGGAAATATATGACTGACTTATTAAATGGCTATAATCTTCGTATCTCTATAATCTTATGATTAAGATTATATATACGTATAATCTTCATATCTCTATTTTCATCTGGATGGTGTCTTACACCTCATGAAAGTTAGGAGTGGCATAATAATGAGATTTATTATTGTTATCTGTTGTAGTGATGAAGTAATACCGTTGACACCAACAGCTATTATAAAAGGAAAATAATAAACACAACATCACATCAAACAACATTATCAGAGCTTATATATTACGAACCTGTTCTCGTCCCCCGTCCCTTTTAAACGACCATTATTTGTTTTCCCATAGTGCAACTTTCCACTCCGAATAATTCCCTCAATCACTTCAATTTCACGCAATTTGCACACAAAGATTCGTGTACAAATACCCCTATACTTGGTAATCAGTATTTCTCCTCAGACCACGAAATTAGCCTCGACTCCTTGCCTCTTATTCTTACACTCGCTAAAACTAGGTTCTTCCTACCTTGTTCCAGGTCGGGCATTTCTCCGCAGGTTCGCTGGAACTGGAGAACAGCCTGCTGGAGGGCCCTGACCGGCCTCCCCGGTACCTCTGCTTCTACTGTCGCTGCCTGAACGTCCGCTTCGCCTTCCTGGCCGACCTCAGGTGGCGGACCGAGGCCTGGGTCACGATTTGCGCTACCATGGCCATCATTGGCTTCCTCCTGGCTGTCGCCATCTCCATTTTCATTGGGGTAAGGTTCGATGCCGCTGGTGAGGTGGTAGGGGGAGTTGTATGGGGTTGTATGTTGTGTGGCATCGTGTCTTGCCTCATGGCTTACTACTGGGTGCCTTGCTGCTCTGTTATGGCTCGGTGCCTTGACACACTGTGTGGCATGAGGCTTTGACATATGGCTTGCATGGTGTACCCTATGTCTTAATATACATTGATAGTTTACTTTAGTCCTGAACTATGTTCAAGGGCAAAGTATCTCTGCTTTTTAGACAGTAATTAAACTATTGTCATAGGCAGATTAGGAGTCACAATAACGTGGCTGAAAAATGGTGACCAAACCACTGACTAGAAAGTGAAAAGACGACGAGGTTTCGGTCCGTCTTGGACCATTATCAAGTAGATTGTGATACCATCGACTTGATAATGGTCCAGGACGGACCGAAACGTCGTCGTCTCTTCACTTTCTAGTGTGTGGTTTGGTCAACTATTGTGATAGCATTAATAACCCTCCGCAATTTTAAGCCAAACATCAAAGCGTCAACAATATGGTGTTCTGCATAGCTTTTTAGTGGTTTTTCGAGAATGCTTAATATACACGTACAACAAAATTTGTACAAAACAGAAACTATTGCAATTTCTTTTATATGAATATTATAAACTACAGATTCGGTCGTGTCGTGGGCAAGCACCGGAAGGTTCCCAAGGATTCTCTCTACTGATGCTGGCGTCCTGCATCTTCCTGTACGCGGCCATCTTGCCTTACAGCTTCGAGGCCAGCACACTAACCTGCCGCTTGCGCGCCTTCTCCACCGGCCTGGCCTACGCTCTGGTCTTCGCCATCATGCTCTCCAGGTCTCTCATGCTAGCCACGGCTGACTCGGAAGGGTGGGTAGCCCGCTGGGGCCTTCTTTCAGGTCAACTCGTAGCAGTAGTTTTCTGACTCGTGAGTTGCGTAGCTGAAAGAGTTTACTCCTGTCGAAAAATTGCCGAGTTATAGAGCGTAGTGACGATGGAGTTTTGTAACGATAATGTAAGTGTCATGGGTTCAATGACTTCAAGTATCTTGGGAATTCTTATAATTTCAAAGGAGTTGGGGGAGAGGTCTTCCCTACTGAGGATGTTAATGGCTTTCATTATATAGAGCTGTCTTCTGGAGAGGTAGTTGAGCCTAATGTTCAGATACATCATCTTTAAGAGACCTGTGAAGCTGGTATATCCTTTCTGGGAGCTTTTTATGAAGTGTGGCATCTTAAGCCAGTTGATCTGGTCAGACGAGGTGAGGTTGTGGCCCTCACGGTGACGGCTGGTGGCTGAATTCTGATCTGAATGACGCCATACGAGTGTTATTGAGTTATTATTCCGATTTTATGTACTTTTAATGTTTGAATACTTTGAAATCCCAGAGCTAATATAAATAATTCAACGAGAATATTGAATAACATTCATTTAGTACAGATATTTTCGTCTTGTATCATGTTTTAACATTCTTTTTTTGTAGGCTGGTTGGTCACGTGAGCGGCCTTATCCAGACGGCGCTGTTCTTCTTCATGGTGAGCGTGCAGACGGGGCTAGGGGTGCAGCAGTGGGTCATAGGCACCCCGTCCTCCATCCACACACTTCCTTCAGGGGGAGTGCTCTACACCTGCTCGGGAAATCGCTTACAGTTCATCATTTCCCAGTCCTACATCATGTTCCTGTTGGCTCTGCAGCTGGTCATATCTCCCTTCATCATTCGCTCTCGACGAAACTATCACGAAGGATTGTTGTTCTTCATCGCCACTGTCCTGATGGCCGGCGTGTGGGTAGCGTGGGCGACACTCTACATGATCCTTCCACCCGAATGGGGTGAAGCGTGCATATGCCTTGGTCTGGCCGCCACTCCTACCTGTGTCTTGCTTACAATCTTCGTGCCAAAGACCTACCTGATGGTGCGGGCAGCGGCGAAAGAATCAGTCTGTGCGACTCCGATAAGACAGATCGCCCGCCCGCAGCCCAGCCAGGACCTGGTGCGGTCCTCCTCCCTCTCCCTATACGATTCCATCGGACACCTCCCCGAAATGATGCACGCCTCGCCCCACGCCTACGGCCCCGACCCAACCGTGCACCCTCCGCCATCCCGCAAGGAGAGCCCCTACGAGGCTTACTCCCACTACCAACCCTCCCCGCACAAGATCACGCAGTTCTAGTGTGATGTAAACATGACATCAAGATACTAATCCTAAAGCCATTATGTGACTAACCTTTCAGCCACCTGCCCTCAGGATGCATGCAGGTGTCTGTAATAGACTAAGTTCAAAGCCTCTGAGCAGAGCGGTGGAATGGAGCCCGAGTCATAGGTCACCCTACACGTACGCCCTGGTCCAAAGATGTTCTCATAGATAGATCATTGTTATTTAATTGAATGATAAAGATGAAGCCATCCAAAAAGTGGCACGGGCATGAATAGCCCGTAAATTGTGACTTCATTAGGAACTGATTAAACACTGGATTCACCTAACCAAACCAAACCTAACCTAACCTCTCCTCATCTAACCTAACCCTACCAGCCACGTGTACCCAGTTTTCTCAGGCTTATCGTGAGTCTATGTCATGCCCTTGGCAGGGAAAAAATATTGTCTAGAGGGGTGGCAGGCTCGGCAACCCATCCTCTTGAAATGATAGTACTTGTCGTAACTATTTGGCAGTAAGTTATGGCTATAAATTGGATAATTTAAGATGTAGAAAATGAGTAAATTCTAATTTAGAATGATTTAGAATAATTGATTCATGGAACAGATTACCGGTAGCAAAAGAGAGTGGAATTACTTGATGTTTCAAGTATATGTTAGACATGTACAGGGTATATCGAAATAAGTTATAGTGGATTCAAATAGGAACTGGCTCATATGGGCTTTCCTTCCGCTGCTTCATCAGTTGTTGTGTACAGGACCAATTTACTTAAATTTTGTCCGCCATTGCAGAGCTTGTTGGTCTTCCCGAGATGCTTCAGGATTTCTGCTGACACACATTTAGATTGGGAGGGAGGAGGAGGCTTGGAGGGAGGAGGAGGCTTGGAGGTGGAGGATATAGGGCGGAGAAGGCTTGGAGGTGTAGGAGGCTTAGAGGGCAGAGGAGGCATGGGAGGGCGGGGGAGTCAATCCCCTCTACCCGAGTTTCTGAATATTTGTTGTCCTGAAACATTTATTGTGTGTCAAATCCTAAAAAAATATAAAATAAAAGGAAAAAATAACGTATTTTATGAATATTTTTACAACCGGGCAATAAATAATGAAAAAACCTCTCCTTATCGCCTTCGACAAATGTTTAGGTTTATATTTTTCTTCGTTACATTTCGGATCAGAAATAGGGACTGCCTTTGGGGGCTTTACACATGAGAAAACCCTTTTGGGTGGGGGCTGTGTGCTGGCCGCGATGTACGGTCAACGCTTCCACTCCGCGCCTAGCTTCCACCCTCCTCTCCATATATAATCTTTATATTCCCATTCACTCTCTCTACTGCTCTCTCCCCTCCTCTTCCTAGCCCCTTTATGTCCCTTTCGTTCCCCGCCGCCCTCGCTAACGCCTCTCACCTGCCTCTCGGCTCCAACAACACCTCCATATTTTTGTTTATGAAGTTTTTACTCTGTTTCAATTTGTTCCAATAACGTTGGTGTTTATCAACACTTTGGCGGATTCAAGGACTAAAAACATGAGAGGAAAAACAATTCACTAACGTTTTCTTAACTTTAAGCCAACGCTGTTGCAATGCAATTTTAAGCTCTTAGACGAGTTATCGAGAAGTTTCAACAGTTCTTTCAAATGTTCTCGAACGATGTTACAAAGCGTTATTAGTAGGTTTTTAATTACGTTTACCGTTGTGTTAATTTGTAAAATTATAAACTGCAGCCATCAGGCCTTTCGTAAATTTCCAATAGTTTACATGAGACATCCTTCACTCGTGTTCATAGTTTACATGAGATATCCTTCACATCCTTCACTCGTGTTTATAGTTTACATGAGACATCTTTCACATCCTTCCCTCGTGTTCATAGTTTACATGAGACATCCTTCACTCGTGTTCATAGTTTACATGAGACATCCTTCACATCCTTCACTCGTGTTCATAGTCTACATGAGACATCTTTCACATCCTTCACTCGTGTTCATAATTTACATGAGACATCCTTCACATCCTTAACTCGTGTTCATAGTTTACATGAGACATCCTTCACTCGTGTTCATAGTTTACATGAGACATCCTTCACTCGTGTTCATAGTTTACATGAGACATCCTTCACTCGTGTTCATAGTTTACATGAGACATCCTTCACATCCTTCACTCGTGTTTATAGTTTACATGAGACATCCTTCACATCCTTAACTCGTGTTCATAGTTTACATGAGACATCCTTCACATCCTTCACTCGTGTTTATAGTTTACATGAGACATCCTTCACATCCTTAACTCGTGTTCATAGTTTACATGAGACATCCTTCACATCCTTAACTCGTGTTCATAGTTTACATGAGACATCCTTCACTCGTGTTCATAGTTTACATGAGACATCCTTCACATCCTTCACTCGTGTTTATAGTTTACATGAGACATCCTTCACATCCTTAACTCGTGTTCATAGTTTACATGAGACATCCTTCACTCGTGTTCATAGTTTACATGAGACATCCTTCACATCCTTAACTCGTGTTCATAGTTTACATGAGACATCCTTCACATCCTTAACTCGTGTTCATAGTTTACATGAGACATCCTTCACTCGTGTTCATAGTTTACATGAGACATCCTTCACATCCTTCACTCGTGTTCATAGTTTACATGAGACATCCTTCACATCCTTAACTCGTGTTCATAGTTTACATGAGACATTCTTCACATCCTTCACTATAACTAGGTGAGTACACACACACACACACACGGCGCCGGCGAGAAACAATGGGCAGAGTTTCTTTCACCCTGATGCCCCTGTTACCTAGCAGTAAATTGGTACCTGGGAGTTAGTCAGCTGTCACGGGCTGCTTCCTGAGGGTGTGTGTGTGTGGTGTGGAGAAAAAAAGTAGTTAATAACAGTTGATTGGCAGTTGAGTGGCGGGCCAAAAGAGCAGAGCTCAACCCCCGCAAGCACAACTAGGGGAATACAACTAGGTGAATACACACACGTTACAAAGAACTTCTTCAGTGTCAGAGTAGTTAATAGATGGAATGCATTAGGCAGTGATGTGGTGGAGGCTGACTCCATACACAGTTTCAAATGTAGATATGATAGAGCCCAGTAGGCTCAGGAATCTATACACCAGTTGATTGATGGTGGAAAGGCGGGACCAAGGAGCCAAAGCTCAACCTCCGCAAGCACAACTAGGTGAGTACGTGGGCCTATAGTTCATTCGCCAAGAACATAAATTATTAAGCTTATAGAGCAACAAGAGCCCCTCCCCCCCCTCCTCTTCGCCTCCCCCCTCTCATATCTCTTTCCTTATCCCCCTTTTTTCCATTCCCTTCTGCCCTATCTCTTCCACCTCTCCACTCTCATCCCCATACAATCCTCCCCTTGCCCTTCTTGTTTCCTCTTCCCCTCTCACCCCTTTCGTTTCCTATCGCCACTCTTCTTTCCTTCACCCTCTCCACCTTTCTCCCCCAATTCCCCCTCCTTACCCCTTTCTCCTATTTTATCCCCTCCCCTCTCCCCTTTCTCCCATTCTCCTTCTCGCTCTTCAAACAGTCCTCTCCCGCCATTCTTCCCTCTCTATCCTGCCCCTCCCCCCCTCTCTTTCTCAGAAAAATCATATAACCTTGAACTGAAATAAGTCTACGGAGAACACAACCAGTATTTCAAACGTGACTTCATGAACACCCCTGGGGAAGGGGAGGCTGGGTTAGATGCCAATATTTCTTAAAGTATGGCACTGGAGCTGACCCCGCCTGGCCTATGACACTCCCTTACCTCACACCTGGCATGCACCGGGCCTGTGACTAGTTCCTAAGCCTTTCCGCCACAATCCAATAAGATTGACATGAGGTCCTGTGGTACAGTAGTCTACGTTCTCGACTCACAATCAAGGATCCCAGGTTTGATCCTCGGATGGAAAAGAACCAGCTGAGTACGTATCATTTCGCCTGATGCCTCTGGTAGCCTAGCAGTAAATAGGTACCCCGGGAGTTAACAAACTGCTGTGGGGTACTACGGGCTCACCATAGCCCGTGCTGCTTGGAGCTTTTTATTCAGAGTAGCTGAATCTAAAACAACAACAACGTGTTGTGGTGTTGCATTCTGGTGAAGGTCATTTCAAGGTCGTTGCATTCACGGTTCGACCTTGGGGTGACCTCGATATAATGCTAAAGTGTTTATATACACAGGCTTCCTGTCCTCGACAAAATGAATTATTATTATTATTTTGCAATTTGCAAGCCAGATCTGCAATTTTTTGCACAGTTGTCAGGGGCAATGTAATTATTATATTTTCACTAAATACCACTGGGTATTAAATAATAAAAAGTGACCTATAACAGACAGGCAGATTTAACCAAAATGTTCTTTCAATTACGAAAACAAATATATATTTTTCACGCAATCATTAATGGCACAATGCGAATAAACATCATTTTTCTTTGACAAATATTTATTTTATAACGAGATATGACTTAAAACAAACGTGTAGATATATCCCAATTTCCTAAATTGACAAACAGTTACGATAATAAATTACGAATATTACGATTTTTTTTCGTAAAATTACGAAAATTACGACTCATAAAACATTCACTTATATAAATATTGACACTGAATGAATTATGTTAATAAACAAAATATTGCTTGAATAAATTTGTTTGTTAAATAAACTTGACCTAAAACAAAAAACTTAGAATTTCCCAAATAAATCAAATATTTCCCATAGCGTTATTGATGTAGAATGTATAAACTTGATTATACATATGCAAGCATATGTATATACATATGAAATTGGGATATATCTTTGATTATACATAATACTAATTGGAAATACCGTGACCAATTTGTGTTGGCAAAATATAACCCCCCAATAAAATGTAGGCAGGTAAGTAGGGAGGAAGGTAAGGTAGGTAAAGTCAGGTAGGAAGGTAGACAGGTTGGCTGGTAAGTATTTCAACAGAAAGGTTGTTAGGCAGGCAGGCAGGCTGGCAGTCAGGTAGGCAGGCTGGCAGGCAGGCTGGCAGGCTGGCAGGCTGGCAGATAGGCAGGCAGGCAGGTTGGCAGGCAGGCAGGCAGGTAGGCAGGCAGGCAGGTAGGCAGGCAGGTAGGTAGGCAGGCAGGCAGGCAGCCAGCCAGGCAGCCAGGCAGACAGCCAGCCAGACAGCCAGCCAGGCAGCCAGGCAGGCAGGCAAGCAAGCAGGCAGGCAGGCAGGCAAGCAAGCAGGCAGGCAGGCAGGCAGGCAGGCAGGCAGGCAGGCAGGCAGCCAGCCAGCCAGCCAGGCAGGCAGGCAGGCAGGCAGCCAGCCAGCCAGGCAGGCAAGCAAGCAGGCAGGCAGGCAGGCTGGCAGGCAGCCAGCCAGCCAGGCAGGCAGGCAGGCAGCCAGCCAGCCAGGCAGGCAGGCAGGCAGCCAGCCAGGCAAGCAAGCAGGCAGGCAGGCAGCCAGGCAGCCAGCCAGCCAGCCAGCCAGCCAGCCAGGCAAGCAGGCAGGCAGGCAGGCAGGCAGCCAGCCAGGTAGGGACTCAGCATTTTTAACACTATCGACCACAATGCCAAAATTCGGTTACTTTATTTGTTGATTCAAGTCACTGTTTTATCGGAGTTTATTTGGGGTAA